CAAAATAACAGAAAAACATTCAATGTCGTTACAGTACCGCAAAACGGTAGTCAGCAAATACCTGGTAAGCTCGTAATTGACATTGTACTTGAGATAAAAGAAGATAATGCTATATACAGCATAAAATATCGTCGCAATCAACACATAGGCGAGATAAAATTTGCCCAATTTTAGATATATATTTTTATTTTTAGAATCAACTAAGCAGTCGAATGTAAAATATTGTGTTACATATCTATCTTTTGTGAAAACTGAACAAGTCAAGTAAACAAAATATTCAAAAACCCCGAAGAGCATATTCAAAAATATGTAATAAGCTATTTCAATTGTGAAGACAAAATATAGAATCGCAGCACTGTCTATTAAGCAAATTATTCGTGTAATATATTTTTTTAAGCAAAATAGCCAGTTTATGTTAACCACTTGTTCACCCGACATCATTGTATAGAGTGTGTAATTTAGGTAAGCTCTTACGAATTTTAAAAAAATATACGTATAATTTTTATTCATACACTTATATTCATATCATTTATTAATATTTATTAACATTAATGTATTAAGACTGTAGTGTACTTACTTTTCAGTGGATTCTATATAGTAAAAATTATAAAATTATTGTATTTATTGATTTTTTTATTATTCCATGTAATTCACATAATAGTATTGAATAATAAATCATATTATCGAATATTATGTAGGCATTAGTTTTTGAAATTAAGAACATCAATGATGTAAATTGCTTAAAATAACCATATTTTTTTGTGAAATTTTGTCCGTATTAGCGTTGAGTATATTAGTTTGTCAGTTATTTTCAGGGAAACTTAATTCAGATTTCGTTGTGAACACAAGATATACTCAATAAGCTGGTGGTTGCTAGTCTACTGTGCAACTACAGTTGTCAGTGACATCAAAATAAATTATGTCCAGTTATGAAAAATCTTGAATGTGATGTCAAAATGGTGTGTTATTTGTAAAATTTATCCAAGAACTTCAAACAGAGCGTGGGCACAAAAAAGAAATGTAAAAATAATCAATTGCAAAACAGTGACAAAATTTACGATTTTCGATATTTTTCTATTGGTGCAAACACAAAAATTTTACATAATGACTTCCTTTGACCTATTTCTCGGGGCGCAGCCACGGAAATTCGATTTGAAACTTTCTTCAAGATCTTTGATGAACCAAAGCGGTACATTTTCCTTAGATTGTCTGCGAACTGGTGTCTGACGAGGAGCTAATCTTATTCGCAGTTGTGGCTTGTTTCATGTTTGTCTTAAAGTAATGTTCCTTGAAAATAATATAACTGGCTTATTTTATAAGCTCGGTTTGAAAAGTTGTGCAATGAATGAGAAACTTTCGCCTACACTACATTATTTTAAATCAATTTTGTAAGGAACTCAGAATATAATATGAGATTTATATAAAACCTAGATTTTTCCGCTCGCTTACTTTGGGATGGGATATAAAGTTGATATATCCGTCTCCATAGTCAGATCTATGTAATTGATTTTTATCAAAATATGTTCAGTAGTTTAACTTTTAAAAGTTTACGTAACACGTATAATAAGATTTGTATGTTTTATTCATAAATCACGTCTTGGACAACTGTCCCGGTTATCATCTACCGTCTATTTTCATTAAGCAGTTTAAAAATACAATTATCTTAATCCCTTCACGACCGTGGATACGCCGGCGTGTCAGTTAACAATAGATTTCTTAGAAATTTAATTAATTTCTTAGAAGTTTACCTGGAAGTGTTAACATTAGCGAAAAGTAAAATAAGCATAGGTTTTTCCTAAACAATCTTTGACTTTAAAGTTAAATGGATTTCATTCCTTCCATTGTCTTCATTTTGTCCCTATACGCCAGCATGTTCCACTACAGATTCGCAAATAAATTCAAAATTATGTAAGTCCGTGAGGAATCATATACCGGCTCGGAAGGTAGTTTTGCTGAGACGATCTCGGGCCCTGTATTCAAATCTTGAGTTGGGTTAATAGCAGTTTTTTGGAATTTTGATGATGCATACAAATTCGTGAATAATCGTGAATGAGGAGAATATTATTTATTAAACGCTCGTCAAAGTTCCTCAGTCCTCCTCCTTGTCGTCGAAGTTTTTACCTAAGCTTTTAGGTAGGTAACAAATACTTGGTATTTAAAAATCTTTCAAGAAGTTCCCTGTTATGGCCCTATAATGCTGTAATGGCCAGTAATTCCAAGAGCACTAGATGGATCAAAAAAAATCTCATCGCACTACACATTTAACTTTCACCTTCATAGTGAATAATTGCAAAATGCATATGCATTCGTTCTTAGATTTTTTATTTTGATTTTTGGTTCCCGATGTTTCGAATGCTTTACAGCAATCATGGTCACGGGAGAGTCTCTCCCGATTCCGAACCCGAAAAAATAGTTTTATTTAAAATTCAAAATGCATATTTTATACCGAATTCCTTATAATTGTATGTACTTATTTAGTAATAATTTTAATAGAATACCTATAATAGTTTGAAAGATAACCCTGATAATATAGACTCACGAACTAATAAATAGATTAATGGCTTGGTACATAACGTGCCATTTCACTTGTCAAATACATTACAAAGTTCATTTTTTTCTCCTTATCTAAAATAATTATCTTAAAATGTTTTGTATTATATTATTATATTACTGTAATAACACATACATATATGTTCACACATATCTCGTGAACTAGATTAAGTTACCAAACCTCGATTGTTTATAAAATATGTATTTATCAGTCATAGCAAAAACCGATACAATACTAAAAGTTAATGTAAATAATCAAAATATATTCAATATTTGTATATAAATTATTATATGCAGCCATACATTTTGACACATTTTATTAATAACCTTAGGATATCTACGTGCTTCCCCCGGTTATAGTCTATCTGTGTATTTTTCATCCAAAACTGTCGAGTCGTTTCAGCATAAACGAGCAAGAAACATACACACACGCGTATTTAAACATTCGTATTTAGACATTATGAGAACATCGTAATCACATGCCTACATAGTATTGGATAAATTATATTATGATTTATTATCCAACTAGTGACTCACCCTCGCTTCGCTTGGGTTTGTCCCTAGGTACGTTTTAACGGTTAGTATGAAATACAAATCTTTGATTTCTCGGCTTTTCTGTACTATAATATGCATGTATTATACATATAAACTTTCCTCTTGAATTAATCTATCTAATAAAAAAACAGTATCACAATCCGTAGCGTAGTTTTAATGATCTAAGCATAAATAGGGACAGAAAGACAGCGGGAAGTGACTTTGTTTTATACTATGAAGTGATACTATTACGTGAATTACATGCATTAATTAAAAAAACATCAATACTAGGCTTCGTATAATTTTCCACTGAAAAGTAAACACAGTAGGTACAGTTTTATACATTGTTAGTAAATTTAAATAAAATTATACGTATACTTTTTTAATATTTCTAAGAGCTTACGTAAATTACACACTCTATACAATGATGTCGGGTGAACAAGTGGTTAACATAAACTGGCTATATTGTTTAAAAAAATATATATCACGATTAATTTGCTTTATAAACTGTGCTGCGATTCTATATTATGTCCTCACGTTTAAAATAATATATTACCTGCATTTGAATATACTCTTCAGGGTCTTAGAATATTTTATTTACTTAACTTGTTCAGTTTTCACAAAAGATAAGTATATAACAGAATATTTTACATACGACTGCTTAGTTGATTCTAAAAATAAAAAAATGTATTTAAAATTGGGCAAATTCTATTTCGCCTATGTGATGATTGGGCCAATATTTTATGCTGTATATGATATTATCTTCTTTCATCTCAAGGACAATGTCAATTACGAGCTTACCAGGTATTTGCTGTCTACCGTTTTGCGGAGCTGTAACGACATCGAACGTTTTTCTGTTATTTTGATCCTCACTTTATTTTATTGTCGCATCAAAATGTTCTGTAGACAAGTTTGCTTAGAAATTTCGCAACGAAACAAAATGTTTGATCGAGTGAAAACAATGAAGCTTTATATTCATATTATGAATATGTTAAGGAAAACAGACTTTCCAGTAAAGTTTTTGGTAATTTACTTAATAGTTCTATCTTCTTTGTGCGGCTTGTGTTTTTTTGTGTTTTAAATAAAAGAACCTAATATGTGAGATTATTTTTGTGTCATTTTTAATTCGTTTTATTACATTTAATAATCTCATTGGTTTTGTGGTTAGCGTGTAAAGTTTCAGATCCGGATCATCTGGGTTCAATTCCTAGGTCAGTTAGTGTAGTTACTGATAAGACTTTTCTCCATAGTTGGAAAGGAAGAGCAATATACTGCCTCTGAGAACTCGTAAAGCCATCGGGTAACAAAAAAAATTACACAAACCTTGTTTATATGTCACACAAAGTTAATTTATTAAATATAAGATTTACTATGTAATACAAAAAGAACATATTAATGGAAGTATGTGTATTTCGTATATTTCGTTTTGTTTCACTGTATTCTATTTCATTTTTAAGTGCAATGAAACATATTAATAACTAGCGACTCACCCTCGCTTCGGTCCGGTTTGTCCCTAGGTTGATTCCCCATACAAAGTTTCATCCCCATTTTCACCCCTTAAGAGATAATTTCCGGGATAAAAACTATACTACGCCTTTTCCAGGGTCTCAAACTATCTTTTTACCAAATTTCATCTAAATCGGTTTAGTAGTTTCGGAGCTTATTCTGTACAAACAAAGAAACAAATTATTTCCTCTTTATAATATTAGTATAAATAGATGATATGGAATTGACATTTTATATTTTCAGATTTTCATCAATTTGATTATCACTTTTATCGATCTCTCAGTTTTACAATATAGACTGGTAAGAATGTTTTTTCAGCACCTCAGTATGCTTGTGAAGGCTTTCAAGAACTAAATATAATTTTAATTTTTTTATAGTTTGTAACAGCAAATACGTTGGGTAGATGTGCTATGGCTGCTTTAGTAGCGAAGGATTATTTAGAACTTTTCTTACCATCGATAGTTTTAGAGATAGCTGCCGATGAACTAGAAAAATTACAAACATTTGTTGCTGACAGGATGATCTCAGCTACTGGTAAGTCTCATCCTCAGACTAAAGAATTATATAGATGGAGCCCACAAAAAAATCAAGTCAAAAAAAAATTCGCGTGATTAAGCCATCGATCAAAAAAGTACTAAATACTCAATCCCATGCAAAGTCATTATTCTGGTTCAAAAAATATACAACAATGTAAATTGAACCTTAATTGCAATGCTTAAAGTTGTTTTTACAATAAAAAAATAAAAGTGCGCTCAAACATTCAAATGAGCGCTCATTCGGCGAGAACGTTTTTTGTCGCTGATTGTATATCTATGTAGTACATTTATGATCGATGGATTTGCTGCTTATGCTGCTATTCTCGATTTTGCCAAATAGACTATTGACTTTCTTTAAAAGATATAAGAAATTTTATAGACATTTTTAATTTACAATTTTAGAGAAATAAAGTGAATGTTTTAGAGAAATAATATTATGTTTTATTATGCGTTATTTATTCTATCTATACATATAATAAAACTGTAGAGGTCAAATGTTTGTACATAGACAAAAAATGCTTAAAACTCAGTGAGGGGTATGTAAGACGAGAAATAGAACAAATAAAGTATTTTTTCGATGTTTTTGTTTCTCTGTCTGTTTGTCTGTTTGTACATGTTATATTAAATTAATATTATATTAATTAAAATAAAACTACATGATAGCTTAAGAATTCATCTTGTAATGTCATCATTTTATGTTTCCTCTAATTTATAGTAACATCATAAAGTTTGTATATGTCTTATAAAATTATAAAATAAACTAATACAACATCTCCCTTTTTAAACTAAATTAAACAGCATGTTAAAAACATAAACAAAAAACAACATTAAATAAGTAACTCTAGTATATGGAAACATAATTAAATTAATTAGGATATCTTACTGGCGGACGAACAGTTCGGCCATAAGACGTTGTATAGAAACCCTCTTCTCTATTACTAGTTGTTGGGGCATTCAAGTCTACATCACTTGAAGGACAAGTACTGTATTCGGATTCAGAACTATCGTCAGAATCATAATTACAAGGTTTAATATAAAACCTATTTCTTATAAAAAACTTATCATTACTCTTTATCCTATACGTTCTACTGTTTAATATATCCTTTATCACTCCTTTCCTCCAGAATCTCCCTACCTTAAATAAAACTATCTCTCCATAAGCTAATTTTCTTAATTGAGTTTTGTTCCTATTATAGTAATATTTATCGTTTTCTTGTCGTGTCTGTAAATTTTTTCTTAAGTTTTTATTAACTTTTGGAAAGAACATGTTTTTGCTCATAGGTATAATACCTCTAAGTTTCCTATGAAATAAATTTTCGGCTGGTGAAGGAATGATATTCGAAATTGGAGTATTACGAAACTCTAACAAAACTAAATACGGATCTCTACCATCATGTAATGCTTTCTTAAGAAGTTTTTTTATAGTCTGGATTTCTCGTTCAACCAAACCGTTTGACTGTGGGTACCCTGGACTAGATCGAATATGTTCAAAATGATAATCTCGAGAAAATTTATTAAAAATGTCACTGGTGAATTGTGGGCCCCCGTCACTCATTAACTGTTTGGGTATACCAAACCGACTAAAAATTTGCTTCAATTTATTAATGATTTCATCACTTGTAGTGGATTTCAAGAGGGCAACTTCTGGAAATTTGGATAAATAATCTATTACTAGTATATAAGTATGACCATTCCATTCAAACAGATCAATTCCAACTTTTTCCCAACATAATTCTGGCACCGGATGCGGTATTAGTGTTTCTCTTTTATTATTGTTACTAAAAAGTTTACATGTTTCACATCGAGATATCAAGTCTGTTATTTCATGAATCATACCAGGCCAATACATAGCGTCATTTGCCCTTAATAAAGTTTTTGTAATCCCTAAATGAGGATAGTGTAAACGTCTTAACATTTCTTTTCTTAGTTCATAAGGTACTACTATACAATCACCTTTAAATATTAAGTTAGATTTATATGTTAAACTATCTCTAACATGCCAATATTGTCTGATATCTTCAGGTAAAGAATTTTTATGATCAGGCCACCCATTAACAATGACATTCTTAAGTAATCTCATTTCATTATTACTTTCAGTCAAATTCTGAAAGTCACCTAATTGACTCTGACTAATATTTAAAGTAGAAATCATCATATTAATATTAGCCTCAATATTCTTTTCATCTAGATCAATTTCTAGCATTTCATTTTCGTTAAATGACCTTGATAAAGTATCTGCTATATATAACTCTTTACCACGCTTATACACTAAATCAAATTCATATTTAAGTAATTTTATTAACATACGTTGAATTCGCGGTGAGCAAGAATTTAATGGTTTTTTGACAATGCCTATTAAAGGATTGTGATCCGTTTCAATGATTATTTTCCTGCCAAAAATGAACTGGTTAAACTTTTCACAACCAAATAAAATTGCAAGCAATTCTTTTTCTACTTGTGCGTAACGCTTTTGGCAATCGTTTAATGCTTTTGAAGCATAAGCTACCGGTAAACCATTTTGCATTAAAACAGCACCAAGACCATCTTTTGAAGCATCCACGGACAAAACAACCGGGAGCTTTTCATTAAAAAATTGCAATACTGGTTTATTAATTAATTTATTTTTCAACTCATTAAAAATTTTGTCATGTTCGTGTAGCCACTCAAATTCATAATTCGTCTCTATCAATATATTATATTTTCTATTCTTTACATTAAATATTGTAAACTTACTTTATTTTATTATTTATATTAGGTAAATTTCAGTACCGACTGCGCCATGTTATATTAAATTAATATTATATTAATTAAAATAAAACTACATGATAGCTTAAGAATTCATCTTGTAATGTCACAGGCTAATTTCCGAAACTGCTGGACCCATTTAAATTAAATGTTGCATGGTGGTACCTTATGTCCCCGATCAATATTTTAGATAATTTTCATCCCGGAAAATTGAAGAGTTTCCGTGGGATATTTAACAAACTATAGTAACTTATACAGATTTTAATGAAACTGTACAATAATATAGTTCATACATCAGAATAGCAAATAGGCAACTTTTATCCCGGAAAAATGTACGGTTCCCGTAGGATATATTTGTATCTGTTTGTCTAGAGTCCACTAGTGAATAATAAAAATAATATAATATATATTCTTTTAAACTTTTTAAGCATTAGATTTCTTTCTCTTGTAGGAGAGATAGCATAATATTAGCTTTTTTTCTTTATTATGAGTAATGCTAATATATACCTATTTACTATATATAAAACTTAACATGTGAAGCATAAATAATGTTTGCTCTTTATTTACTTTTACGAGCTTTCATCAGGTATATATATATCTAACTAGATCGTATATTTTTACTTTTCAGATGATAAACAATACCAGGAATATCGAAAATTGCTTCAATTTTTGCGGGAGCAAGGCTTGAAATACTACATATGGCGTGCAATACCAGTAGACGCGCGTTTACCTCTCGGCTTTACATCCCTAGCTCTGACTTATTTAGTTTGTATTTTACAATTTGCACATGTATACGATAGAAATTAAAACTAACGTTCATATTGTTTCATAACGAATTTCATTAAGTAATAGCGTTAGTTGTACGTAAACCACCTTACTGTTGTAAATGCGAAAGTTTGACATTCCAATCAGCACGTAGTCTTAAAACCCACGACACTAGGACGATGTCACATTTTCGCTGACCATCGGGCCTATACCGAAGCGACAAAAAAAAAACATTTTCAATGTTAAAATGTCAAAAGATAACTGTCTATATTAAATTTTACAAATTCCCAAAGATACGCTGGAACTACTTCTTTACTTAAAGCTCTTTAGAATTATCCTCGTTTTATTGGTACGTTGCTGGAACACACTGTACTGGACAACTGATATCATGTAAAAAAATGATATCGTATTCTTTCAAATATAATGCATCACACTGGATACCACTGAACAGATTTAGATTAAGAAACATATTTACATACAATATTGATTAAATGGTAACAAACAAACAAATAAACATGTTTATTTATATTTATAATGTTAATTAAAACTAAACAAAATAAAATTTATCAAAAGCATTAATAAAGTACGGATTTGAACGTAAATTTTCATTATTTAGGTATAGGGTAGACTAATCAAGTTCCGATGTCAATATATTATGTGAAACTGCCGGTATAGAGCAAACACTATCTTATGAGGTGAAGTTTCACTCGGATTAGCTAATCCCAGTCATTTACTTGTTTAATTATAGATCGTGTAGCAAATTTTATAAGTGGAATTTCGTAAATCTATAATAATATTATAAAGAGGTAAAGTTTGTGAGTTTGTTTGTGACGTGTAGGGGATAATCTCTGGATTTTCTGAGCCGGTTTAGATGAAATTTGGTAAGAAGATAGTTTAGGACCCTGGCAAGGAAATAGTACACTATATACATACTTTTTATCCCGGAAATCATTCCTTAAGTGGGTGAAAATGGGGATGAAAATTTGTATTGGGAAGCAACCTAGGGATGAACCCGAGCGAAGCGAGGGTGACTCGCTAGTCTTATATAAAATAAATAATATATACGCAAAATTATACATACATAAGAGAAGAACCTAGAAGAGATCACTTTAAGTGATAAGGCCGCCCTTAAACAGAAATAAGTATTTGTAAATTTTTGTATCTTATTTAATTCGTACTTTTGGTGTAATAAAGGATAAAATAAATAAACAATCAAACAAACAAACTAATAAATAAATACATATATTTACATAACGACGACGACAAGCTTTTGTGTCATATAAATTGTGTAATGTAATAAATTGTTGCGTTTGATTTAATTTAAAATATAAGTTCTTCTATTTAGAGCATTTAAATAAAAACTTGTTTTAAAAAAATATTTTTTATTATAAATTTATTTTTTATTTTTATTTTATTCGTAGACTTCTCAGCAAACCCTTTCATTTGATACCCATATTGTAGGAGTGAATTAAAAAAACTAGTCCGCCATATTGGGTGTTCCGCTACGTTGGATTTAAAATGATGTCACACAGCTAACCATGCATTGTCATTCCATCCAAACTAAGCGTGTATACAAAATGTCAGCTCAGTCGGTTGAAGGCATCTGCTTCAAAATTGAGTTGCAAGATTCCATCCGAACAAACAGTTACAAACATACAAACATTGCATAAAGCTTGTAAAAATATAAAACGTTCAGAAGATCTTACAACTTTGCTCACTTAAAACTACGCAGATGAGATTAAAACGGTGTCAATTATATGACAAGTAACTGCCCGTAAAGCAAAATTTCTGATCTATTTTGAATACATATTTACCATATAAATTAACAAATCTATCTGTGCATATAATTATAAGAAGATTTAAAGGCCCTATATAATACAGTTCGGGCACATAATTTTACCTGCTTTCATATGTGCGTGGAATAACCACTATTAAGAATAGAATAATTTATTGAAAATTTCAAGAAAAAAAAAGAGATATCTATACATATAATAAAATTGTAACTAAGAATCTGTACATTAAATATTTTTTTAGAAAATCTTATTGAAATAGACATTATTATCGATATAGAGGCCGAATCTATAGTTTTTTAGAATTTTTGTCTGTCTGTTACCGCATCGCAGAAAAACCACTAGAGGAATTTTGATGAAATTTGGTATGGTGATAACTGGTTATTCGGGTCAAATTATACCGCGGAAAAATATCTCATTTCCGAGTAAAAATACAAAAACTGCATTTTAAGAGTATACTAATACCTATGTAAAACCTAAGAATTTGGTTTTTGGTCATCTAAACGCGGGCGGAGCCGCGAGCAATGCTAGTATTTAATAAAAGAATAAACAACAAACAGACTCAATTAAAAAGACATATTGAGACGCTTATTCCATAACCATAATACCTCTTTTTTTGAAATCGGATAAAAAATATCTGAAAAGTGACAGAAACAATGCTTAACTTTCATGAAAGTGTTTCCAACGGACAGTTCCCAGGGCGATATCGAATACACACTATCGATTTACTTATGAGTTATGGCTTAAAAGCAACACAGTAATTGGATAAAACGTTCTATAAATCGAATTTTGTAGAAAATAAAGTTACGAGGTAATTTATTAAGTTCAATAAACACAAATTACTTTTATGCGTCATTATATTATATTAATATCATTTTTTCAAAAGATGGATATTACATTAAATGTCTTTTATACAAAAAAAACTTTTGTGGGATAAATTAATATTTTTGAAGATTTTGTAGTTTTTAGAGGTGTTAAATATTAATTGAATATGTGAGTAATTATTAAACGCATAATACTTATTATTCTGCTTTTTTATATCCCACTTTTGGGCAATTACAAGGGTGGTCCATTTACGACAATGGCCAAATGTAGGTTAGTGGAGCCACACTAATCTTTCATAACACGAGTAACCTTTCTATTATCGTAAATTCGGAAAACTTGTTGCTATATTTGACACAAAAACATTTTCTAACGGTATCTATACTTCTCGTATATTATTATAAATCAGTCAATATTACGATGAAAATAATACTAAAATGCACTACGGCATATCATGTCATATAACATTTTACACCTTTAGATATCGGTTACATGATATACACTCATCGCCAGTACACTTGAACTAGATGTTTCTTTTAAACTGTCACATGCATCTCACTTCATGTTTGTCGAGCCAAATCGGCTCGCTTTGCACTTAATTCCTTTGATATTCGTACCTTAACGTTTTCGCACCTATTGAGGTGTTGTTCGACTAATGGCTGTTTTTGCGAGTTTTACGGTTTAATAATTGTTATAGTCTGAATGAATTATAGCTTTATATTTCTACGAATAAAGCTGTTTATAAAGCGTTCTAAGAAGGAATAAGTCATATTGTTATTACTTCACAGAATTGTAAATTATGTTATGGGAAACGGAAAAAATAGTGAGTTTTCTGCAATTTTTTTGGAATACAACATTAAATTTGTTTAATACTGTAAGTATATAAATTTTTGGTAATATAATTTAAAGGTACTGTTAATAATTAATATCTATTATATATAAATGGCTTATGCCCATGACTCCGCTCGCATAGTTTGTTAATGCTAACAGAAGCATTTGAAAGCATTTAGGCAGGGGTTTTCTTTTCAATTTCTCTTTCGAAGTTTATTGCGTTCACATACAAAACATTATCTTAATCTATACATATAATAAAGGTCTGAGTCGAATCTGCACTTAAATATTTTTTGGAAAATCTTATTGAAATAGTCATTACTATCGATACAGAATCCGAATCTATAGTTTTTAGATTTTTTGTCTGTCTGTCTATCTGTCTGGAAATAAATGACGAGAAAACAACTGAACAGATTTTGATAAAATTTGGTATGATGATAGCTGGTTATCCGGGTCAACATATAAGATATTTTTTACTGCGGGAAAATAACTCATCTCTGAGAAATCTACACTAACCGTTAAAACGTATCTAAGGAAGAACCCAAGCGGAGCGAGGGTGAGTCGCTCGTACATATATTATAATTAATGTAGATATTATAAATGAAAATATTCATAATGGCTTTTGTTTCGAATTTTATAATACGAAATACGGATTCCCTTAAATAATGATCCGATAATGAGTATAATTACTGAGATTCATGCATCCGTATCTTATCATTGTCAGAAATTGTAATTTATTAAAGCCAGATTTTTATATCTGTATAAATATTATAAATGTGTAAGTTTGTGAGTATGGATATTTATTATTCTTTCACGCTAGAACGGCTGAACGGATCTGGATGAAAGGCACGGAGATAGATTATAGTCTGAAATTACACATAGACTTCTTTTTATTCCGGAAAAATATACGGTTTCCGAGGGATATATTTTTTTTGTTTTCCTAGAGGCATAACCGAGCGAAGCGATGGTGAGTCGCTAGTATTTCTATATAAGAACTTATGTGTAACTCGACAGCTGAATCCGTGCAAAACTCCAAGAGGTACCAAATAATAATGCCTAAATAATTCGATGATTGACATAGACTTCTTTTATCTAAGCGAATCCAGTGCTTCTAGTTTGATGTAATCAGTACCTTAAAGATCCTTAGACGCCATTATAAAATATAGTTTTTATTTTATTTATATAAAAATCTAAAATTATAATACATGTATGTATTGTGTATGTGTGTGAATGTACAAGCTCTTAAATTTTCAAATCTGTATATATTAGTACTACTGTTTTGCATTTTGTTCCTATTTGTTTCATCGAGAAACTATTATATCTTGGCCAAATTAATTCCTAAAGAATACTAAATTCACATTTGTATTATCCTAAACTAGCGAATCACTCCCGCTTTGCTTTGGGTTCGTCACTAGATAAAGACGAATTTATCCCACGGGAACCGTACAATCTTCCGAGATAAAAAGTAACCTATGTGCTATTCCTGACTATAATCTATCTCAGTGCCTTTCATCCAGACCCATTCATCAGATCTGGCGTGAAAGAGTAACAAACATCCATCCTCACAAACTTTCACATTTGTAATATTAGTATGGA